TCCTCACAGCAGCAACCGCACACCTTTTGTTCATCTGTCAAAAAGGCCACGTTATTGACCCGAAAGTACACAAAAAGCACACTTCAGATACTCAAGGTCCTTGAGATGCTTCACGCTTTGAAATTTCACCAATATCTGTTACGGTTCTTCAACAAAACGTTCACATCTAAGAGGTTTATCTCTCATTCAGAACAATGGAAACCTTTGATCTCTGGACACCTCATTAGCTCAAATATAAACAGCTGTGTCATGGAACACGATGATGTCATAACTCCAACTGACATGCTCAGAGCAGCAGACTTCAGATAATGGTTAACAGTCCAGCCATCAACAGCTCTACGTAAATTATGGGGTGTCATCCTATGCCGTTTCCATGGAATGCGTATCCCTCGCCATAAAAGACGATGTCGCTATTAACTCCTATGAAAATGTTGAAAAAGTGCTCAAACTTCACATGTGTGCTAACAGTCCAGCCTTGAAGACATCTACGGGACAGTTTTGAGATTTCTTCAAATGACGTTGCCATGGCAACACAATGCTCACCATGAAACACGGGTTCTCATAACTTCAGTGAAAATGCTCCAAACGGCCCAAAACTTCACAGGTTTGGTAACGATGCAGCCATCAACGCATCTAAGCATATTATGGGGTGTCATCAAATGTCGTTGCCATGGCGACAGACCACTCGCCATGAAACACGATGTCGCTGTAAGTCCAGTGGACACGGTCCAATTGTCCCCCAATCTTCACTTGTATATCACCGGTCCATGCCTCAACAACTATACGCCAAATGTGAGATCTCACCATATGTTGTTTCCATGGAAACGCATCCCTCGCCATAAAACACGATGTCGCTATAACTCCTATGAAAATGTTCAAAAAGTGCTCAAACTTCACGTGTGCTAACAGTCCAGCTGTGACGACATCTACGTAAGAGTTTTGAGATTTCTTCAAATGTCGTTGCCATGGTAACACAAGGCTCGTCATGAAATACAGTTTTCTCATAACTTCAGTGAAAATGCCCCAAACGGCCCAAAACTTCACAGGTTTGGTAACAATGCAGCCATCAACGCATCTAAGCATATTATGGGATTTCATCAAATGCCGTTGGCATGGCGACAGATCATTCGCCATCAAGTTAGTTCAAAAGTTTGCAGTTCAAATATTCTGCTGCTTTTCCAAGCCTTTTTACTTTCTTTTCTTCTTTCATCACACATTCAAGCCCCCAGTGTTCATGTTTCATTTCAATCTAAATTCTTCACTTTCTTCTCACACATTACATTTCAGCATAGCAATTCAGCGTCAGCTTTTCAGCAAAAAGCATTCCCACTAGCAATTTCTTCAGGAATTGCATTCTCTAGTTAGGGTCTGAGACCGGTCGGCGAAGACCCTTTTGTAATTGCTCGCCAACACACACAAAACAGGGAAAACGACCGGCAAAAGCACAGCAAAAGGTTCCGACACCATGACGGCAGATAGGTGGCCTAGTGACGTGACGCAGCATCTGAAATGGGTTCCGGAACTCTGCAAAAAAAAAGGGTAAGCCAAGTCCACTTCCGTTTGAACGTAATCTCCACCCACTTTCATGTAAACGAACGAAAATCTCTACGTATATCTAGGGTGTGGAGACCAACCAAAATGCCTCCTGGAGGTGTATAAAAAAACGTACAGGAATTCGGCCATTTTGAATTTCGCCCTCCGTACTTCAGAGATCTTCTCCAAGGGATTTTATCCAATCGACTCCAAATTCGGCAGGTAGCGTCTCAAGACATGGGGGATGAAAAGTCGCAATATTTCTCCGCACGGCGTAGTCGTTATGCGGCGCCCATTTTCACGTTCGCTCGATGCTAGGCGATCCCTCGCCATGGAACACGATGATGTCATAACTACAACTGACATACTCCGAACGCCGCCAAACGTCACATGATGGTTAACACTCCGGCTCTGAACAGCTCTACGTCAAATCAGAGGTTTCATCATGTGGCGTTACCATGCAAACGCATCCCTCGCCATAAAACACAATGTCGCTGTAACTCCAATGGACATGGTTCGATCGTCCACCAAACTTCAGTTTGATATCACTGGTCCATGCCTCAACAGCTCAACACCAAATATCAGGTCTCATCATATGCCGTTTCCACGGAAACGCATCCCTCGCTATAAAACTATAAACTGGTCAAACTTCACGTGTGCTAAAGACATATACGTTTACTTTTTGAGATTTTGTCAAATGCCGTTGCCATTGCCGTTTTCTCATAACTCCATTGAACATGCTCCAAACGGCCGAATGGCGGTTATGGCGCAGTGGTTAGAGCGTTGGTCATCAGATCAAGGGGTGTTGGTGAACTCTAGTTCGAATCCCGCCTCGGCCGCCACTGCGTCAGGCCGTTGTGTCCTTGGGCAAGACACTTTACCCGCATTTGCTCCTGTGGGTAATGTCCGCAGTAATGACTCTTACATGTCTAATATGTGTAATGTGTAATTGTAAAGCGCTTTGAGCACCTGTAAAAGCGCTCTAATTAAAAATGTAATGCATTATTATTATTATGTTTGATAACGATGCAGACCTCAAGTCATCCAAGCCTATTATGGGGTGTCATCATATACCGTTGCCAAGCGACAGATGGAAAAACCATGAAACACGGTTTTCTCATAACTCCAGTGAACATGCGCCAAACGGCCCAAAACTTCACATGTTTTTAGGCCTAGTAGGCCTCAAGACATCTAGGCCTACTAGGGGTTTCATCAAATGCCATTGCCATGGCGACAGATCACTCACCATCAAACACGATGTTTATTTTACTGCTGTACCTCCCATGTACATTGTCTGATGGACCTGAAACTTCCCACGTTTGCTAACGACCGAGTCCGGAAAATATCTGCGCGACGTCGACGTGCCGACAACAGCGACCCTGCGCGGAGCGTCAAAGACCCGCTCATCGCTGCTCGCAGCTTTAATTCAGATTATTTTTGCGCTATTTCAGTATTGAACTATAGCCGAATCACAACCCCACCTTCACTAGTGTCACATTGACATTGTGTCACGTTAGCAGAAAAAATGGATGGTGCAGGTAGCAGCCAAACGCCCAGCGGGGCAGAGAAAAGAAAGTAAAAGAAAGAAAAGGAAGAGAGAGTGGCAGCTGCATTAAACACATATGAGAGGCCGTCTAGCTCACAACTCATACTTGGTCTTACAAACAATATCAGAATCTCACACATACACCATTAAACTCTTTTATACATACAGCTAAACACTTTTACACGCACAATCATACTCTCTTTCACACACTTTTGTCTGGGCCATAAATCAAACTTACTTACATAGCAAACTGTGCTTTCTTAGAAACACTATTATTCCCACTTACAGACAACATTATCTACAATATAATACTCTAGTAGTGTATGCAAGATAGAAAACGTTATGTGTGAGAAAGAATGATAGTGTATGTGAGAGAGGAATTGTAGTATGTATGAGGGTATAGTAGTGATAATGTAGTGTAATGTAACTCGACGTGAGAGGACGCTGGCGCTGACTGACTGCCGCTTCTCTGTCCGAAAATCTCATCTTTCTTTGTGTTAATCTAAGAGTTTCTGACCACTTTCTACTGCTATAGTTTTCTAACTATTCTGTGGCTTTTGTGACTGATTCAGAACGCCGCGGTGTCCGTCAAACGAAAAACGTAGAGCCAATCAGGAACTGAGAATTTAGTCCAGCTTCCTTTTCAATCAAACTCACTTCCTTTTCAATCATACTCTCTCACACACATAACTATTCTTATGCACACCCCTATCATTCTGTTTTATACACATAGGCTTACCTATATAGTCATTCACACTAACTATTATTACCTCTTATATAAGCTATTATTCGGCCTTTCATTCACTGCTATTCTGTTTTACATATATGACTATTGTTATTAACATGAAATACTATTCCCTCTTATATAGGTTATTATTCTGTCTTACTATTGTTTACTGATTACACACATACTGTATCCTCTTTCACATACACTGTTCTATTAGATTATAGTTGTTTGTGAAAGACGATAGTGGTGTGTATACAAGAGTATGATGGTGCGTTTAAGAGATTTTGTTTGTGTGTGTGAGAGAGAATAATTATTTATGTATGATAGTAAATGAAGGAAGGAATGACAGCACGTTAAAGACGGTATGATGCTGTGTGTGAAAGAGTCTGGTGGTGTACATGTGAGATTCTGATATTGTTTGTAAGACCAAGTATGAGTTGTGAGACACACACACACACACACACAAACACACACACACACACACACACACACACACACACACACACACACACACACACAATAATATCTTCTATCACATATATACTGATCACTTAGTTGAGCAACCACATACTTTCAATACATGTTGATGTTGGTGACAAATAGAACTCCTTGTGTACTTGTACTGCCAGCCAGTCATATTTTGGCATTTTAAGTGGGGTGCTGCTCTGAAGTTTTGAGTGATATTACCTAGGTCTTCTTCTTGAGATCTTATCCATTGTATCCTTGTCTTGTGATTCCTGACTGAAAGGGCAAAAGGCTAGACCTACTTTGGTTGAACTATGTAGCTGCGTCCCTGCTTTGACAAATAGGTGTGCGATTGACATGCTAGATTGAATGAAAATGTAAAATATTGGTCATGTTAGGTAGGCGTGTTGTTACGTGTTGGTACGTGGGTTGAGGGGCCCTGAGCTCTCAGTGCCCAGGGGCCCCTGGAGGTACTAGAGCCTTGGCTATAGGCTTGTTAACATCTAACTATCTATCTTAACTTCTCCAAGATAAAATATTGATCTTCTGGAGAGGGTGAACAACTGGTCCATCTTATTTAAAGGTGTCTCTTCTAAGCTTTATCTACAGTTGAATGTTGTGCTTTGATTAGGACGTGCGGGTCTCTGAGGATTTGTAAGATTTATTAAATAGCTGTCTAAACTGCACGTAAAACAGAGGTTTTAATGATGCTACTTCTCTCTCTTTTAGGGTGGGCTTTAAAAGAAAAACATCCCAGAATATAAAACTGCTGCTGTCAATGAACTCCTGAAAACATTAGGTAAGTGCGTGCCAGACAAACTTTGTGATATTTAACACAAAAAATGTATAGCTTTTTATTACAGCTTAGTACACCTTTTGTGAGACATGTTTGAGCTTTCGGTACAAAATAGTGAAGTATTTTCATGTTCGTCTTTACATGTTTTCTTTTTATAATAATCACCCTGATGAGCACCAGAAGACAAAATGTGTTGGCCTACAAGTTGTTCTGCAAACTACAAGTGTAGCTGGAGTTTAAGCTCTTCAGTCTTTTTTCCTTCTCTGCTCTCTATGAATGATGTTCCAGTTCCTTTGTTTGTGCTCTGAGGAGGGAGTAGTGAGGAGGGGTATCTGCAAAGACCTGAGCGAGGAAACACCACACAGAAGTTACGAGGCGATACAAAACCAAAACCTTTAGGACAAAACACGACGAGGAAAAAAACAACAACAAAACAAACAAATAGCAGCAATAAAAACCTAGTTCAGAACTCATGTGTGAATACTTATTCTGTTATATTTACGTCCACAGTAATAAACACTGGACCATTTCTCTTTCATGTAAGGGCAGTTGGGGACTAGTTCCTCACAGACTCATCCAGAGTTCCTCGCAGCACGTGTGATAACCTCTCCAATGGCTACATACACATCAGTTTTTCAAACTGTAATAAAATGTCAGAATATTGTGAGGCTTGCAGCATCCAGAGCAATTCCAATAATGTGCCAATTTCTACATTCATAATTTAAATCCAAACAAAGTGATATGGATTAGAAGGTATATCTTTCCCAAATGCTTTTTTGCACTGATGCCCAAAAAGATAACATTTTAGGGCACGACCGCATAAGATTACTATAAGTGCCACAGCTAATGTCACATTTCAGGCATAATACATAGGATTATTATACAGTAGCTGGGATTACATGCAGTCTGTGAATAAGCTTGTATTGGATTTGTTACATGTAAAAACATGTTTTGCCACATCTCATCATCCAATTAAATGGAGGTTTAACCGTGCAGATTCATTAGAGTCAGACGCTGCAGATGATCACAACATTCCCACACACTCATACTGAAGTGGACAGACAAGTAGAACCAAGTTAAGACTTGTTAAGTTAGGTCTTTTTACTTAAAAAAGTATTTATCTGTGTAAAGTGTACGACTGAATGAGAAAAAAAAGAAAGAAAAACATCCTTGATTCAATAGAAATATTTTACCTTCATGATATGAAAGTATGCTTTTAATCTGTAAATAGTCCACTGTAGGCAGAGGTGGGAGAAGTACTCAGATCTTGTACCTGAGTAAAAATAATAATACCGGAGTGTAGGAATACTCTGTTACAAGTAAAAGTCCTGCATTAAAAATGTTACTCTAGTAAAAGAACAAAAGTATTAGCATCTAAATATACTTAAAGGGGACCTATCATGCAAAATGCACCTTTGTACGTATTTTATACATGAATATGTGTACCCGGTGTGTCGGGGAACTCACCAAGTGTCAGAAAGCACAACCCTCTCTCTTTTCCTCCATACCCAAAATTTCTAAAAACGGGGCTGCAACGGATCTGATACAGACTGATCCAGATTTGACAATAGAGTGGCGAAGTCACGCCCATCTACTTCCGGTCCATGGGACCTTATTTCTGAAAAATAATGTATTGAAGTCAATGGAGAGAGAAAACTTATCTTTCGATCCCGTTTGAATTGTGCCATGAATTACACATATGATGTTTGTCAATCTTAAAAAATATTTTCCATGTCAAAAAAGTCACAGTTTGTCGTAAAACTGTTGAAATATATGAAAATATATGAAAAATACGCAACTAGAAAGACTACAAATCCCAGAGTTGCGTAAGTGATGTCACAATTGTTTTCCTCCACTAAGAGATAGCTAAGATCAGCGCCATATAGATATAATTACATTACATTGCATTTAGCTGACGCTTTTATCCAAAGCGACTTACAATAAGTACATTCGACCAGGAAGACACAACCTTGAAGAAAACAGAATCATATAAGTACATCAGGTTTCATAGAGCCAAACATTTCAAGTGCTACTCAACTGGCTATAGATAAGCCAGTCCTTTATTAGTATATAAGTGCTCTGTTAGCAGTTCTTTGTTAGTAATTCTATCGCTCGAGGTGGAGTCGAAAGAGATGAGTTTTCAGTCTGCGCCGGAAGATGTGTAAGCTTTCTGCTGTCCTGATGTCAATGGGGAGCTCATTCCACCGTTTTGGAGTCAGGATAGCAAACCCACGTGTTTTTGCTGATGGGAACTTGGGTCCCCCTCACAGCGAGGGTGCAGCGAGTCGTTTGGCTGATGCAGAGCGTAGTGCACGCGCTGGGGTGTACAGTTTAACCATGTCCTGGATGTAGGAAGGGCCAGATCCATTCGCAGCATGGTATGCAAGTACCAGTGTCTTGAAGTGGATTCTAGCAGTTACCGGAAGCCAGTGAAGGGAGCGGAGGAGCGGAGTGGTGTGGGAAAATTTAGGAAGGTTGAAGACCAGACGAGCCGCTGCATTCTGGATGAGCTGCAGAGGTCGGATGGCACATGCAGGTAGACCAGCCAGGAGGGAGTTGCAGTAGTCTAGGCGTGAGATGACGAGAGCCTGGACCAGAACCTGCTTCGCTTTCTGTGTCAGCTGGGGACGTATCTTCCTGATGTTGTAAAGCGTGTATCTGCAGCAACGGGTTGTAGCAGCGATGTTTTCAGTGAAGGACAGGTTGTTATCTAGGATCACACCCAGATTCCTTGCAGTCTGAGTCGGGGAAACAACTGAGGTGCCGATGTTGATTGTTAGGTCAAGAGTGGGACAATCTTTTCCCGGAAGGAAAAGCAGTTCAGTCTTGTCAAGGTTGAGCTTGAGGTAATGAGCAGACATCCACTGAGAGATGTCAGTTTGTGTACAGGGAGAAGAGGAGGGGACCGAGAACAGAGCCCTGAGGGACCCCTGTAGTTAATTGACAAGGGTCGGACTTGGACCCTCTCCAAGTTACCCTGTAGGTACGGTTTTTGAGGTATGAGGTGAGGAGGGAAAGTGCAGAGCCTGACACTCCAAGTTCTTGGAGAGTGTGAAGGAGGATCTGATGGTTCACCGTGTCGAATGCAGTAGACAGGTCCAACAGGATGATGACAGAGGAGAGGGATGCTGCTTTGGCAGTGTGCAGTTCCTCAGTGACAGCAAGGAGAGCAGTTTCTGTGGAGTGACCTGCCTTGAAACCAGACTGGTGCGGATCCAGAAGGTTGTTCTGATGGAGATAACAGGAGAGTTGTTTAAAGACAGCGCGTTCAAGTGTTTTAGACAGGAACGGGAGTAGAGAGACAGGCCTGTAGTTTATAACATCAAACGGGTTGAGAGTGGGTTTCTTTAGGAGAGGGTTTACTCTTGCCTCCTTGAGACTGTTTGGAAAGTGACCAGAAGTTAGAGAAGTGTTGATGAAATGGGAGAGAAACGGTAGAATATCAGGAGCGATAGTCTGGAGGAGGTTTGAAGGGATAGGGTCCAGAGGACAGGTGGTAGGGCGGGCAGAGGTAATGAGGGTAAGAACCTCACTTGGAGAGAGAGGGGAAAAGGAGGTTAGTGCGTGGGTGGAAGGGGGGTCTGGTGACCCAGCGGTGAGTAAAGGTGAGTCAGAAAAAGAACAGCGAATATCATCAACCTTTTTTTCAAAGTGGTTAACAAAGTCGCTTGACAGAAGTGAGGAGGGGGGAGGGGCTTTGGGAGGGTCCAAGAGGGTGGAGAAGATGGAAAATAGTTTTTTGGTATTGGAATAGGAAGATTGGATCTTATCTTGAAAGAAAGTGCTTTTTGCCTGAGAGATCGAAGCAGAGAAAGAGGAGAGGAGAGCCTGATAGGTTAGGAGGTCGTCACGGTGTTTGGATTTCCACCGTTTCCGCTCTGCTGCCCTAAGGACGGTTCTATTAGCACGCAGTGCGTCATTTAGCCAGGGAGCAGGAGGGGACTGACGAGCCTGCCGAGATGTGAGAGGACAGAGAGAGTCCAGAGAGGATGGGAGAGTAGAGAGGAGAGTTTCTGCAGCAGAGTTTGGAGGCAGTAGTTGGAACGAATCAGAGGAAGGGAGGGCTGAGAGCACCGACGAGGCAAAGGTAGAGGGGGAGAGGGAGCGAAGGTTACGCGGACAGGAGCAGGATGAGAAGAGATTAGTTTGTTATGTTTGGAAAGGGGTAGAGAGAATGAAATAAAGAAGTGATCGGATGTGTGGAGCGGGTTTACAGAGAGGTTAGAAGTAGTGCAGTTCCTTGAGAATATGAGATCAAGGACATTGCCCGCTTTATGAGTTGGTGGGGATGGAGACAGTGAGAAAGCAAAGGTGGTTAACAGAGATGTTAGTTCGTCTATCTTCCCCGTCTGGAGGTTGAAGTCTCCGAGAAGTACAGCGGGAGGGCCAGTTTCAGGGATGTGTGAGAGGAGATTATCTAATTCCTCCAAGAAGTCCCCCAAGGCGCCTGGTGGACGGTAGAGAACAACAATGGTTAATTGTATAGGATGGGTTACTGTGACGACATGGAATTCAAAGGTGGAAGGAGTGAAGTTAGGTAGCTTGAAGAGGGAAAAGCTCCATTTGGGAGAGAGCAGGAGACCAGTGCCACCTCCTCTGCCAGTGGGTCTGGGTGTATGGGAGAAGGAATATGCTGTGGAGAGAGCTGCTGGGGTGGATGTGTTGAATGGAGTAATCCAGGTCTCAGTGAGAGCAAGGAAATCCAGGGTCTGCAGGGAGGCTTAGCCAGAGATGAAGTCAGCCTTAGGAACAGCTGACTGGCAGTTCCACAGGCCGCCTGAAACTAGATGTTGGATCTCAGTGGAGCATGTGGGATAGACGAGAGCAGGCCGGTTATAGCGATTACGAGATACACGGGGCCAGTGATAATTGCGAGAAGACACATGAACAGGAATGGAGAAAATACACATGATTATAGCATGAGGGGCTAAACAACCAAATAAAATAAAACACCAGCGATACTTAGCTCAATCAAAGTAGGATTTGCCTCCTCTTTGCCACCC